GAAAGAAAAAGAAAAAAATTCCCAGTCCAGAAACACCTGAGCTGAGTGTCTCAGGGGCTTGGCAGCTGGGCCCTGAGATACTTGTACATTTAGTTCATTGATAATTGATAGTGACCCAGAAAATGTCAACCTGTAAAAAAAGAGGGTGAAGGGAGTGAAATAAAGAAAAAATAACCTTGTGAAATGTGTCTTCATAGGCAGCAAGGATAATACCTGTAGGATATGGCACTGACTGCAGAAGCTGCCGATGAGCACACTCGCTAGCGATGGGAGCAGGAGCCGAGCATCGCAGATGGCAGGCATGCTGCTTTGATATTTCATGTTTTCTCTTTTCCCACAAGTCAACTATTGATACACTGTCCTTCGCTTCACAGATATGACTATTAAAACTGATGAAGAGATATAATTTCTTGATATTTTTTAATGGAGATGACAGGAAACAGCCTACTGTTTGGAAAGTGTTGCTGGTTATTTCAATTTTGTTTTACTTTTTAATGGTATCATGAGACTGATAAATGAAACCAGAGCAATTTCACAGCGTGTCTCCTAGATTCTACTGTGAAGGTTGTTACTTTAATTTCTGTTGAATAAAATATTCAGAGAAATTTTTGTGTGAATTGTACAAAGATATTTAGGATGTGTTTTTAGGGGGACGTATATGTTAAGAATGTGATTAGAAGTTTTATTATTTAGTTATTTTACTTTTTTTTTTTAGCTAAGAATGAGATAGGTAGCCTTGGACTAGAAGGTTGCTCTTTCTTCTTTCACATTCAAGAATACCCGCCCCCCCAAGAAAAAATGTTGAGGCCTACACCAAATAACATTAAGGCAGCATACAAGGTAACTAAAATGGATCTCATTTAGTAGCAGATGTAATCTGGATTCATAGTGGAATGAAAATATGTAGGCAGGTTTGCTTATAAGGAACAGTAAAATGAATAGATATTCAGACTATTGAATATGAAGTTTGGGTGGAAAACAATCGCAGTACCAGGGAAAATAATCAAACTCCAACATGATTGCAGCTGAAACACTAAAAATGTTTTATAAAGGGTGTTTTATGTAAAAGTATCTCAATACCTATTTTAAATTAACAGTAAAAGAAAAAAAAAACAGAAGATAAAACCAGTGATGCCTGAATCCAGAGCAAGTGAATCTTATAGAATGATTTTTCTGAGTAATAAAAATAGCGGGCATTGTGGCTTACTGTGTGCCAGATATTGCCCAACCAAGTATATGGATCATCTCATTTCATCCTCCTGGCAGATAACAGTCCTGACTTTGGCAGGAGGAAGGTGAGTCAAGGACATCCAGATACCAGGCAGTGAAGCTGGACTCAGAGATTGAACACTGTGTTCTCAGGTGAACAAGGCTTAGTTATGGGAGAAGAGTGTCAAATCTATGAGTAGGAAGGTTTTGGGTGAGAATTACCTTTCAGATTGTCTATGGATGTTTAACCCTCAAGAAGAAAAAATAAAAGCAACATAAAGTAAATAAAATTTCCATGCAGTTGCTAGAAGAGGAGGTTCAGAGATGGTGAAGACAAGGAGAGCTTGAGTTAAAGGAAAATAGATGAAAATTTTGCTACTTTTAAAACTCTAAAGAAGTGGCAGACACTGAGTCCTCTTCCGTGTCTTTGATGACTTAGGGAAAGTGGTGGTACCATTTTGTTTCATCACTCCAAAGAGTCTGCCAGCATGTGGTTACGGAGAGCATCCTATGTCTCATGGACCAATTTAGGTGTAGGAAACCCTTGGCCAGAATAATGGCTTGTTCCTCTAATTTTTATGTATTGAAGAATTTTTTCTTCATACAATATTTATGAAGGTTTCCAGATATCCTGACCTACTGAAAAATAAGTGTTTAAATACTTAAGATTATAAGAAAACTATAATACACAGTTTTCTGTTGGTTCTCAGCCTATGGGTAGTGATGCTATTGGCTAGGAGGCACTCACGGGGCATGTTCTGCTAGTGGCAACCTCAAAGGCATTTCCGCACCTGGAGCCAATGTGGCTGGTCTGGCCCTGTGGCTCTTATTATGGTTGCAAGGTGCACCTTAGCAGCAGCCATTAGGGAGAGGATGGGAGGGTGTGCAGACTGGCGCATCTCCCTTTGTTAGGGGCAAGGGTGGGGTGCCTGGGGTTTGTGGGTTCACTATTGGTGAATTTAAAGCAGAAGCATGGAATTAGTGCATGGAAAGGAAAAATGGGGTTGTGCAACCAGTCAGTTATCCAGGTTGCCCCAAAAGGGAAACCTCATGGGTGGGAGAGGCCTGGCTCCTTACCTAGCTGTTAGGCTAGTAGCTGGGCCAAGCAGCTGGTGATGGATGTCTTGGAAATGGATGCCTGGACAATGCTTAATGTCATGCACTTATAATAAGAAAGCTTATTGTCAGGCACTTACAATAAGAAAGCTTGTTGTCAGGCACTTACACTGCCTATACCCACTTTATTTTCCTCTGAAGTATTGTAGGGTTTCATGAAGTATGCATGGGGTCTGGAGTCAGATTGCCTGGATGTATATTCTGTTTTCAAACTCTTAATTGTTGGCAAGTTACCTCACCACTCTGTCTCAGTTTTCCTATCTGGACAGTGGTGACAATACTAGTTCTTGATTGTAGGAATACCCAGCACCTAGTAAGCAAGGTGGTAAATGTTTGCCATTATTTGTATGCTCAATAGTTAGCAGTCATCTTTTTAAAAATTGTGTTTCATATGTAGACAAATTTTCACATTTTTGAAAGGAGCACAGTGTTATTTACTCATAAATTATGGTTGAAATATAACTCACTTCATGTATTATAGGTATCTTAGGGAGAATTGTAAATTGAGTTTTTATCAATGAAACTAAAATTTAAGCGCCCTGGGGAAATTTTTCTTTTAAAGGTCCCCTGTTGAATGGAAGAGCTGGGATGTGAGGAGATGATCACTATAGGTGATTATGGTCTAATCCATCTCCATATATTTAGACTTCATATAGGATTTTATGAAAGTAGATCATCATAAAAATGAAATATCTTTTCTAACAACTCATATATAAAACTGCAGTAGCTTGTGATTAAGCATAATTCCTGATTTAAAGATAAAATACATGTTTTTTGAACTGAACAATGCTTTTTTACACCTGTAAATCTTACATTGTCATGTAAAAGCACACCCCTCATCTTTTAATTTAGATTATAAGTGAATTTACTATTTTATGTGTTTCCCACTGCTGCTGTTACTCTTAAAATAATTTACCGTTTTCGATCTCCAAAGGGATGATATTTGAAGTAAAAAAAAAAAAGCAATTAAGATATTTAAAGACATACTCCTCAAACACAAGGAATTGTAACCTGACATAAAATATCTATAATCATTTTTAGTTATCTTACAACATTACTTTTTGGTTTTGTTTAATTCAGCTTCACTGTTATCTGGGTTAGGAGGGTTTGGGCTACAAGTAGCAAAAAAGCATAATTAGAACAAGGTTGGTCCCAAGTTTTCTATTCAGTGGCCAGATGGCTCAAGCACCTGGGATTTGGGGGCTTTCCCTCTGCCCTCCTTGTTGGCATCTGTCCTGGGCATCCTTCTCAGTTGTCGATGATTGACACCATTTTCTTAGTTTTAGTATCTTGCCATCTCTTTTTATCTCATCAAGTCCAGGAGAGAGCTTGCTGCCCCTCCAATTTCCATTTGCCCCATCATTTTAGCAGTTCTAGCCCTGCTAACTTTGGACTTATCTATCACTTTCCCCCTTTATTTTCCTCTATCTGCCTACCAAATCATAAACATGTTCCTTAGTTAAAAAAACAAATTTTAGCTAGCCAGTTTTATTGCCATTTTAATCTATTATCTATAATTTAATTATTCCCCTTTCACACAAAAAAACCCCAATCTTCTAGTTATTTACCTTGGCTTTCTTTGCACTATCAGATAATTTCTTTCTAAAATACAAAGAAAAATATATCCAAACATTTACAGACTTGCATAAGTTAGTTCATTTGGTAAGAGAAATAAAGTAGGAATTATTATAGCCTTAATTTAGAGCGGATAAAACATGATTGGGAAAGGGAGGGTGGTTTGCCCAAAATCATTTGGCCAATAGATAGCCGGACATGAACTCAAACCTAGAAAGGCTGTGTCCTACCAATAGCCCAATGAAGCTATTAAATGGTGATGTGCTGCCTATGAGTTTTCCCACTTGGTTATGGACTGTCATGTTTGGTTTTTCTTTTGGTCTGAATTCCTTTTGAATCCCTTGAATAAAAACATTTTAAAAATAAACATCATGAAGCATGGTGCTTTATTCCAATTAATAAAGTTTAATTTTTGGGTCTTTGTTGTGCATATAATTATTTTGTAATCCAGTCCCAGTTCCAAATGGCCTGATAATTACAATTTCACTCTTATCCCAGCCATTATATTGTAACAGATGAAATATTTCTTGTAAACATCACAGACACTAAATAAAAAAGCAAAAAAATAGCTTTTGGAGATATAAAGAAACAAATGCTCAGATTCTTATTGTTCATATAACAATGTGGATAGTGAAAAGGTAGATACAATAATGATTTAGGAGCTGCATTCAGTACTAGAAAGGCCTGTGTGAGGTTATAAAAGCAAGCTGTTCATTCGAAACTGGAAGTTTTTTTACCCTGTAACAATAGCCACAGTAAGAGGGGCCCCACCCATTATCACCACAGAATTCATTTCACAAATGCAGGTGTTGGGAACCGCTCTTTCCAAGACAAACACTCCTTCTAAGACAATGGGACCAAAGACAGCCCCCCCATATATTAAAATGTGTATTAGTAATTGCTTAATAAAATGGCCTAACCTTAATATAAAGACATATAAAATGAAGAATCTGAAACAAAAGCATTAGAAAATGTACAGGAAAAGAGACCACAGAGCCAGTGAATTGAGTTAATTTTGTTTATGAAATTGATGCTTTATTTGATGAATATACTTAAACAATAACACTATAGGGATTTTTTCCCCCTCTGATTTATGTAACTGTATTCCTGACTCTGGATATTTCTTGAATGGTCATTATTTATTACAAAGGATTGCATTTTTAAATGCAGTTTGTTACATTCAAGGCAAGTGATCAATTTTCCCAGCATTGTACATTGTTTTATTTTTCATTTCCAAGATACCAATTGCATTAGTTATCATGCTAATACTCATATGTAAAAACTCATATATTTTTTCATTGAGAAAAAGACAGAAGCTATAAAGATATTGGTGTTAGCTCATTGGGTATATTTGAAGTTGGATTATATCTTTCAACAATCACTTATTGTTTCTAAGACTCTAAGCCAAGTGCTATGTTTACAAGCAATGTAATTAGTTTTTTAGTGGACAAGCAAGCTATGGAAGTTGTTTTTTTAAAAAAATATATTTTATTTTATTTTTTTTTACAGAAAGGAAGGGAGAGGGATAGCGAGTTAGAAACATCAATGAGAGAGAAACATAGATTCAGCTGCCTCCTGCACACCCTCTACTGGGGATGTGCCTGCAACCAAGGTACATGCCCTTGACCGGAATCAAACCTGGGGCCCTTCAGTCTGTAGGCTGACATTCTATCCACTGAGCCAAACCGTTTAGGGCTGGAAGTTTTTCTTTTTTATATGTTTTTAATTGATTTTTTAGAGAGAAAGGAAAAAAGAGGGAGAGAATGAAACATCCATGAGAGAGAGATACATTGATCTGCTGCCTCCTGCACACTCCCTACTGGAGAGCAAAGCCAGAACCTGGTAATGTGCCCTAACCAGGAATTGAAACAGTGACCTCTTGGTGCATGGGATGACACACAACCAACTGAGCTTCATGGGCCAGTACAGGGGTTTCTTTTCTTTTGTTAGTATTGAGTATATTTTTGACACCACTAGTTAGGCTTTGATGTTTGGTATGATAACCAATGCAATTGACATCTTGGAATTGAAAAATAAAACCTGTACAATGAAAAAAGTGAACCTTGATAGGAAAACACTCTCTTATTTTGGCAAAAAATCTGGCCCAGAAAGGGAAGATCCAGTTGGTAATTGATGCTTTTCAAATGATAAGACCCAGAAGTTCTCAAAAAAGTTTTAAGAATTCATGGTTTGATGCTTTCCAATGTTACTTTGGTTGTGCAAGAGTAGCCTCTATTCAGGAAGGTCACCATGAGGTCACCTGCCATTTTAGGGTAAACCCAATGGAGATCAATCATTATAACATCTGGAAGACTTCACCTTTAAGTTGGCATGACTTGGAGTCTTTTACTAACACTTTTTACTACTCTCTTACATCTATCCTCTGAAATATACTGGTTTTTATAAGAAATCCCAGGATGGATATTGGCTTAGAACAGTGATTTTCAGCCTTTTTCATCTGGCACACTAATTACTAAAATTCTGCACCATACCAAAAAAATATATGTTTTGCTGATCTGACCAAAAAATAGGCATACTTTGATTCATTCATACTAGGAGGCTATTGTTTGTGTTGACTCTTGTCATTTTTTTTATTTGACAATCTAAGGAAAAAGAGGTCAATGCCTCTGACTAAATAATCAGGTATTGCATGTTTTTTTTTCTTTTAAATAAATCTTTATTCAGATTATTACAGTTGTTCTCCTTTTCTCCCCCCATAGCTCCCCTCCACCCAGTTCCCACCCCACCTTCTGCCCTTACCCCCCTACTGTCCTCATCCATAAGTGTACGCTTTTTGTTGCCGGGTCAAAGGTCGTACACATGGAAAATGTAGCTATTTCCTTCCGAAACGTGTCCCGGTGTTTGGAAAGGTCTCTCACGACTTGTTTACGCTCTACTCAGAAAGGGTACAGAGACACATAACGGCTTTTTAAAATAATGTGTCCTCTTATGTTTAAAATGAGGATATCACTTCCAAAAGTGAGGAGAAAGCAACACTACAGCTGTTCTCGCCCCTCTTGCCCTTTGGGTGATAGTTGTGCATGGGGCTGTGCTCTGGTTTGCAGACCGTCGACGAAGCCGTCTGGGAGGCTCGCGTGGTTCTGCCAGTTTCCCAGGGGTCGTCTCAGCCTCACAGGGGCCGGTACAGCCTCACAGAGACTGACTCAGCCTCACAGGGGCTGTCTCAGCTTTCCAGGGGCCATCTCAGCCTCCCAGGGACTGTCTCAGCCTCCCAGGGACTGTCTCAGCCTCACAGGGACTGTCTCAGCCTCACAGGGACTGTCTCAGCCTCCCAGGGACTGTCTCAGCCTCACAGGGACTGTCTCAGCCTCACAGGGACTGTCTCAGCCTCCCAGGGACTGTCTCAGCCTCCCAGGGACTGTCTCAGCCTCCCAGGGACTGTCTCAGCCTCCCAGGGACTGTCTCAGCCTCCCAGGGACTGTCTCAGCCTCCCAGGGACTGTCTCAGCCTCCCAGGGACTGTCTCAGCCTCCCAGGGACTGTCTCAGCCTCCCAGGGACTGTCTCAGCCTCCCAGGGACTGTCTCAGCCTCCCAGGGACTGTCTCAGCCTCCCAGGGACTGTCTCAGCCTCACAGGGGCTGTCTCAGCCTCATGGGGACTGTCTCAGCCTCACAGGGTCTGTCTCAGCCAGCCACACAGGGACTGTCTCAGCCTCGCGGGGCCTGTCGCAGCCTCGCAGGGGGCACCGCATCCCGTGTTGGGAGTGAAGGTGCGAGACAGAAGCTCCTCTTGCTGTCTCTCCTGCTGCTCCCTTACATATCGCTGATGCTGGAAGTTTCTGAGAGCAGTCTGCAGGTGCTGGACATCATACTTTAACTGGACAACATGAAGTTTGGCACTCTGTCTTTTGTTGGGTGGCTCCTTGCTGGAAAAAATCTCCAGGCGTTCTTCCTGGCTGAATATCTGGTATGCTTGCTTGGATTTCATTTTCTACTAAGTGCACAGACTGCTTGTCTTCCGTCTTCCGGTGTCCCATGTGAGACTGGATCTGGTGGACCTGCTTGTGCGTTTGCTGGTGCAGTGGTTCCATGTCACCGGCCCAGATGAGTCCAGCTACGGCTTCCTCCGAACCTGATTCTGCTTCTTGAGTGTGTCCCTTGTGGATGTGAGGAGTTGAAATCTGCAGTTTGTTGGCTTAAGCTGCAAAAGTGCAGGTGGTTCCTTTTGTGCCACTGGCACAGCTTGGGTGGGGATGTAAATTGAGTAGGACGAGGTCTCAGGGGATCACCAGGGCAGAGCAAACAGCAATGTCGTCTCCACGAATCCTGGCCTCTCCACGACTCCGCGTCTCTATGTCCCCGAGTGCAGGCGAGCAGCTCCGCGAGAAAGCCACCCTCGCTCTCCGACCCGCTGCAAGGCCATCCCATCTCTCCCCATAGGGTCTGGGACCTCAGAATCTCTCCCCAAACAAGCTCAGTGGATTCGAGAGTTTGTAACCCCTTCTGATTGAAAAAAAAAAACGCGCATCCAGTTGCAGCCCGCTTGGCGCGCCACTCCATACCTCTGTTCTTGGCGCCTCTGCACATCTTACTCAGTCTCAATGCGCTTCTTTCTTTCCTTCCAGTTGTAGAACTTCCACTGGGCCAGCTTTCCCGTGGTTCTGAATGATAGCTGTTTGTCTTATAGTTGGTAGTTTCAATGTTGTTGTGGGAGGCAGCACGCACACCACCATCTTGGTTCTCCCAGGTATTGCATGTTTTAAAACTTCCTGTGGCAAGTTGAAAATCGCTGGCTTAAAATATGGAGGATAGTTGATAAAGGGGTGTGTGTGTGTGTGCGGGGGGGTGGGGGTGCTTTTTGAATTCTGCACATCAAGGCCAAACCATCATTTTCTCTTTAAATTTTTCTCTTAAGTTTGGATTTTTAGGTTCTATTACCTAGATCTTAATGAGTTTATGATGATTTGTGGGCATGCAGGAGATGGGAACCCTAGAGCAGTTATATAGAAAATAGAGAGGCCCTGATGCACAAAATTCTTGCAAGAGTAGGCCTTCCTTCCCCCGGATCCTGACACCTGCTTCCCTCTGGCACCCGGGACCTGGACTTCCCTTGCAGCCCTGGCTTCATCCGGAAGGTTGTCTGGATGGATGTCAGGAAGGTTGTCCTGTCTATTTAGCATATTATGCTTTTATTATGATAGATTGTAAGTGCAATGAAGACAAGGACAGATGCTGATTTTACTTTTTGGGAAATGTTGGATGCACCTCTTTGAACAAAGTTGCCTCTGCTACTACTTTTTTGGGTCTGTGGGATCTTCATCAGATAACTACTGCAATACATTAGATATCTGTGTTTCCTTCTGAGCAATGAAGAAGCACTTTTTACTGCTCTTACCAGTAGCAATGAAAACTAGAAAATGTTGCTGTGTTTTAAAAACAAATAAGCTCACAGGCTTTATGCTTTTATTTATTCTCTTATCTCAGTAGGTGGCAGTATTTATCTTTTGGCAGAAACATTCTTTCTTGCTTCTTAATAGCTACAAATGAAAGGTATAAAGAGTAAGCTTTATGTCTTTTTCAGTCAGGGTTATGTGAGGATATATAACAATGCTCAGTTGTATGGCTTAAAGTTTAGGACCATCTTGCCATATCTGGGGCAAATGACATATCTCATTATACCTGAAGCACCGTGGAGACATTTTCCATCTATTTCTGAGGACACAGACCAGTAAGGAAGAAATAGCTCTATTTCTCTCTATAGATTTCTCTGCTGAAATCCATTTTACACTTAGTCATTTTATAATGACTCAATCCATCTGGAATCCAACGTTTAATGATGTCTTTTAATATTAATATTTGATCAGAGTGTGACATGGATTTGTTTTTATGTTTGAATAAAGTTTATTGTAATTCTAGTGGATTAAGAATCTAAGAATTGTGGGCACTTTAAATTTTATTATTTTAACAACTGTAAATCAAAAAGGTCAAACTGATTTGTGTTTGGTTATTAAAGACAAAAAGTAAATCTGGAACCAAATTACTAAAGACTACTTATTTATAAATGTGTCAAGGGAGACCATCGCTGTCACTCTCATTGCAGCAGGTGTTCAAAGTGTTAAAGTGAGTCAATTTCATAGAGTAAAAAGATGCAATATTGAGATAGTCTCCACTTGCCAACTGTTCTATTCAGGTGGAAATTGAGCGACTTTCTACTTGGTCTTCAGGTACATTTGGCAGCCTTTGGTTGGCAGCAAGCAGTTTGAGGCATTAAAAAAAAAAAGATTGGTCACTGGTGTAGGCGGGAGGTTTTCTGTGGTAGCCATTTCCTGGAACAATTGGAGGGAGGGTGTCAGTGGATGCTTCGTTGCCATTAAGTTGTCATAATGACCTTTATTTGAGGGGGGAGTGCCTGTCCTGATAGCCACTCAGGCGTGACAGAAATTTGTCTTTAAAAACATAGACTCGGGAATTGGAATACCTGTTTTAATATTTCAATCACTTCTTGGTTGTGGTACCTTGATAATTCAAACACCCCTTGACTCAGCTATAAAATGGGACTAATAATAGTACGGGATTTATATTTTTAAAAAATATATATTTTTATTGATTTCAGAGAGAAAGGGAGAGGGAGAGAAAGATCAACAATGAGAGAGAATCATTGATCAGCTGACTCCTACCGAGGATTAAGCCAGCAACCTGAGCATGTGCCCTGACTGGGAATTGCACCATGACCTCCTGGTTCACAGTCAATGCTCAATCACTGAGCAACACCAGCAGGGCAGTATGGTAGCTTTAAATAGTTTAAGAAATACATTAAGAGCCCGATATATCAGACACAATTAATGGGTAGCTAATATTATTTGTGGACACTGCTTAATGATTTGAAATTAAAGAATTTAAGAATTGAGAAAGAATTTGTACATTCAATGCACATTTTCTCATTAATGATGATGGCTTCGGATATCTCTGCAGTAGACATAAAAAAAAAAAAAAACCTTCCAATTCACCTTCTCCCAGGAAACTGAAAGGGAGTAAAATAAATGCAGTCAGTATTTTCAGCTTATCTTGCATGAATTCTTATGGATTCAGGCATGTGAATAAAAATTGGTTCAGTTTAATAAACAAGTGGTCTTGGCTCTGAATCTTCCCAGATTTTCAGTAGTTTCCCTCCTTTGCAAATCTGTGTTCTGAGTAAAACCCTGTCCAGCCTGCACAGCCATCAAAATCATTGTTGACAAGAAGATTCAAATATCACTAAGTGGAATTTCAAAATTCTTCCTAGAATCCCCTTTCAGTACTTGAGAAGATAATTAGAAAAATTAAAGGGAATTTGTCAAATACTTAAAAAAATGTCTGAAAATTAGACATATTCCCTAGGGTGTTCTGATGGTTCTATTAAAATTTCAGTGATTCTTACATATTGGAAGAGTTGACAAATGTCCTCAGATTTGAATTTTAATTATTCATAGTGTCAATCAAAGAAGCCAGTGGCCCTCTGTAGACACAATCACAGGTACCCTTCCCCTTGGACCCTCCGGTGCGTTGACCTGTATCGTTTTTGGCTTGGGTTTATGCCAATGTATGATGATCTTCTTGAATCCTTTGAGATGTGACTCCTGATTTAGTATTTTTCTTCATATAGATACTTTATTTGTAGGTCTATATCAGACACACTCTCTTGTCTTTAATTATGGAGATGGCAGTTTGAAGGGGGAATACCTGCATTTTTGCTCAATGCAGATGTGGTTTCCCCCTATTTTCCTGAAGGAATGCACTTCCTGTAGTGGAGGGTGATGCTGGGTATTTCCCCTAGGCAAGAGGAAACTTGTCTTCTATGTATGCCTGAGGCAAAAGGAGATGTGCACTTTTTTTCTAGGCCAGAACATCTCCAACAGAAACTAGAGTAGCAGGTACAGTTATTAACTCTTGCGTTATTACCCTGAGCAAATAATTAGGCTGAATTATATGAAATTGTTAAATTTGACAAATTTTAATCTTAAGAAAACTAATTTTATGTGGTTCAACCTAAAATATTGCTGTAACTGTGCAAGGTGAGACATTTTCTGTCCGGGCTTGTGGTGGCCCATTCCCCCCACTGCAGACTGGTGTCTCCCTTCTGCCGAGGGCAGATGGCAGGACTCACGCAAAGGCTGATGAGTTTGGAGTCAGTATATGATCCTGGGAGAGAAAACCCACTTCACACGGTATGTGATAAAGAGCGTGGACTTTGGATTACGACAGTGCTTCACTTGTAGTCCTATGAAATGGAAATACAATTCCTATACCTATAAAATGGAAATACAATGACAATGAAATCGGTTATACACGAGAAGAAAAACCAGCTCACAAGGCCTGTGGTATAGTTGGCAGCTAATAAGTGTTCTTGACCTTCTCTTTCTCCTTTGAGAATGTGCCATTTCAAGGTTGGAATCAGGGCTGTCTTGTGTGATGGAAGAGATGATCTTGCATGAACTGCCCTTCTTGACGTGGGCAAGGGCAGCTCCTCTGTCCTTCTTGCCGCCGTGTGCCCGCACTGCAGCCCCGAGCCTTCCCTTCTCGGATGTGCTTTTCAGTCACAAGCTCAGGTTTTACTGACTCCCTCGGGAAAAGCAGGTGGCCCGTGTTTAAAATAGCATCAGCTGTTTTTTGTGTTTGTTTTTTAAGTATTTGGGCTAATGCTCAATTCTAATTTAGTATTAATAAAATTTTTATGCATTGGCTATGTGTACACACCTTGTTTCAGGCTATCTTTTAAATATGTATAAGGTATTTTTAGATTTGGTGTGAAGGAGAAAAATAGAAATAGAAGAATATGAATATATCTATGTATCTATGTCTATGTCTATGTCTATCTCGATCTATAGCTGCATCTGTAATGTTAATGTAAAAAAAAAGCATTAAAACCTGTAAAGAATTTTTGTGAGTTTATTTGAGCCAAACTGTCGACAATTGCCAGGAAGCAGAATCTCAACATATGGAGATAGTGCTCCAGAGAATGGTGGTTTTTTACCTTGTTTTATACATTACAGTCAAAGGAGAGGATGTGTGTTACATGAAATCCATTGGTGATTGAATTGCTTTGGAAATAGGTTAAAGGAGGGCTTGGTAAACTCAAAAAGGATTTCCAGTTTAAGTTGTCTTGTTTTCTTTTCAAAATTAGCTTGACAAGTGTAAAGCTTTAATTTTAAATACAATTTTGATATTAACTCTATTGAAAACACAATGACAAATGTGTTACCATGTGGAAATGTATTTCTTGAAGGAAGCTGCCCTAAATTACTTTAGCAATCTCTTTTGATAAACCTTTAGCCACTTGTGTATATTATGGAGAAATCAACCAGCAGGAAAGATAATTTTATCTGGGTTGATGTCTTTAGTTTTAAAATAAGTAAGATGAAAAATAGTACGATTTTTAGATACAGCCTGGTGTGACCAATGGGCCGTGACAGAGCCCTGGTAGAAAATTGTTCTCCTGTGCTTGGAGTTTCTGATGATAGTCTCCAGTTTGAGCAACGGATTCACCATTGTTTATATTTCTGCCATAATTCTGCATGGACCATTTTGCACCAAAAGTTAGCATTTCTTCATAGGAAATGTCAAACTCATATGCACACAGTAACACACACATGCAGACAAATACTTCATCTATAATAATAAAAGCATAATATGCTAATTAAACCAGACGTCCTTCCAGACGACCTTCCAGACGAAGCCAGGCTGTGAGTGTAGCATGGATCCCGGGTGCCAAAGGGAAAGAAGCTGGTGCCAACAGCTGGGGGAAGGAAGGCCTACTCTTGTACAAATTTCATGCATCGGGCCTCTAGTGTAATTATAAAACTGAACAGGGTAAAAAGGAAATAAAGATATCATTGACCATGATAAATGAGAAAAAAAGAAGATAAATAGAAAGAAAATATATTTGCAGACCAGAATGCTAAGGGGCTTAGAGGACTAAAGTGCCCCCATCCCTGCTGAAAGCCCCTTCACATCAGCCTAAGAGATCTATACAGTGTTTGCACATCAAGATAAGCACCTTTTTCTACTAAACTGTCCCTCCCTTATGGACATCCTGGACCTGTCAAT